CAGAGTGTTGAAAGCCGTCCTCAGCAAGACACCGATAAAGCCAGCTGAGAAGGGACACATCTTCAAGACTTGGCTTATGCCTTGGCTTTCTTCTAGTCTATCCAGCCTTGTCTGTGAACAGGGGCCAGCAGATCAAGCCAGAACTTGCCCTGGAAGCAAAAATGACAAAACGGAAGCTGTCCAAGGTTGGGTACCTCCTGAGAAGGACAGACCTCCTGGAGAAGACCACCCTGCTACAGAAAGTCACAGGCAGCAGAAGAACAGGGAGGCCCATTAGGAGACGGATCGACTCCATCAAGGCAGCTGCATACTGGGATTTGCCAGGGCAGCATATGGCTGTGAAGCACAGGACTCTCACTCATAGGACTGCCACAAGCCGGAGGTCGCGTGATGGCATGTAGGAAAGCGAAACGCTTATTGCCCTGCCTTCCCTGCAACAATGCTGCACATGGGAGCTCACCCTCAGGAGCATCAAGAAAATCAGAACAGCGGACTGCATCCTGTCCTCAAGTCAGCAGGAAACCCTGGGAACCGCCACAAATAGGAACGCAAGGTTAACCCATCACAGAATCCGAAAGTGCAGCTCCTTGCAGAACTCACACTCAGCTGTGTCCCTGTGAGTCTCACGCAGCTGCAGCCTCTCCTCACAAATACGTAGATCCCCAAATCACACCCTGCTTTGCTCTAGGTGGAGGGATGGGAAAGAGTCCTGTTCTTTCTGTCTGAAAGTAACAGGACTTGGGGAATGGCCATGCTGCAAGAAGTAGTCAGGAGACCCAAGTGTTTTGGCAACACAGAGCTGGGGTACTCCTGGTCCAACGGCTACGAATGGAACAGCTCTTTAGGAGTTACAGCAAGATTTCCAAGACAAGAGAGACTGGCATGGCGTCGGAACGGCAGAGCGGTGATTAATGGAGCTCCGTTATCACGCTGGTAGTATCCAGTGGTGGGCCGTGGGAGGCATATCTAAGCTCTGTTGGGGCTGAAGATTGAGTGCCTGGGGAGTCTTCCAGTTGGGGTGGGGCAGCAACCTCACGTCTACTGGGAGAAAATGAGGCAGTTCTCAGCTGGTTAATACAGGGGAGAGGTTTTTTGCTCCCTCAAGTTCTCGGCACGCCTTAAATATTTTATAGAACTAGTAGAAGCGTTTGATTTACTGGGAAGCATTTTCATCGGGGTTTTTTTTTTTTTTTTTTTTACAATATTACCTGTGGAAATGCTGTATTTGCTGCAAATAGCTACAAAGAAAAAAGCCCTTTGGATGGAGGGAGGAAGTCCCCCCCCCTCCCCCTGGACTACACAGCAACTGAAATAAAGAGAGATGGAGTATTTTGTAAGTAAGAAAAAGACTTTTATTTTTTAATCTCTCCAAGGGCGAAGAATCAATTAAAATAATTGTTTACTGTGGAATTGTGATAGAAGATTCTTCCTATATGTGCTTGTGCTGGACCACTGCCAGAGTTCGCAGCCTTCTTTCTCTTTGTTCCTGGGACCTCTGGACACCTGCCAGTCTTTGTAATTACTGTTACTGTGGAAGAGATACAGAAGACATTCTTGGAAATACAGACTTCTTTAACAGCTGTGCAATTCTCCCAGCAGATGATAATAATACGACAGAAGACTCTTTTAGAGCAACTTGATTGTTTGTTAATGGAACAAAAAAGTGGATTTGATAAATTAGACACTTCCATTAATCAGGCTTTGGGCAGGTGATTTATACCGGAACAGAATATGCAAAATATCAAACAAGCAGAAGAAAAATTTGAAACTTGAAAGACAACAAGTGCAATTGGAATATTAACACAGCTAGTGAACTCAATAAAGGAAAAGGAGAAGATATTTTGGCCACAACTCAAGGCACATGATGCATCACAGACATCATGACATCTCAATGTAAACAGACAGAATGTAACACAATCAGTAAATTTTATAACTAAATTTTTATGGGAGCTGTATGTCATCTCAGAGAAGGAGAAATTAACTAACCATTTAAAAGAGGTTCTGTTTATGTGGCTGCAATTGAAGACTCCATTACAGATATTACGATGTTTTAATGGGAAAAAAACCAAAAAGGTCTGGTAGAGGAGTAAAGAAAAAGAAAAAATAAACAGGGCAGAGGTGCAAAGGGAAGATAAGAGAAATTTCTTTCTTTTTATTCCAAAAAGGGGTGATTCATATAGGTTGGTATGCTCACACATGAAGTAGAAAGACTAAGCTATTATTGCTGGTGAAACAGTAGTAACTTAGCGTAATGAAATCCTGTCTAAAAGGTATTATTGTCAAATGGATATCTCTGACTATATTTGTTACAAGCTATTGTTGTTGGTGATATATGTTAACGATTGTAAACAGCTGGGCTTTTATATGGAGTTAACCATATTTGATTAAATGGTGTTTAAGTTAGATGAAACATTAGCAATGTAACTTAAAGAAAATTGTTTTAAAAGATATTATAAGTATTAGTCATCACCAAGTAGAGTAGTTAAGACAATTGTAGAGATGTTAAATGGATATCTTTGATGTTATGTGTAATTGTGGTAGTGAGGAAGCTATTTATTATGAGAAAATTGAAAAGAACTTGAATTGTCCAGAAATGTTTAGATCCAAAGTATTACTGAAGAAGAAAGAAAATATTCCAATCTCATTTAACTTGGAGATGCTTCCCTCTGACATTGGTCAAGAGAAACAGGACTTGGCAAGAAATGATGAGACTGATTTTACTGATGAGGAAGAGGAAGATAGTGACTTCTGTCAAATTTGAATGTTTTTTTTTTTAATTGGCCGGAGAAATGGGATTTGCTTCTGATCTAATGATGTTTTCAAGTTATTATAAATGGATTTTAGTATAATCGTAGAATGTTAAAAAATATGTAGGAGGGGGCTGACCCAGTAAATCCGGTGTGTGCAACGATTGTTGTTTGTAGTTTTAGTTTTTAAAATCTTAATGTAATTTCTTAAAAAAAAAAGATTTCCAAGACAACAGCATGCCAGAATTATCTTAAGAGTAAAAGCTGGCAAGTTGCTCCTTAAGTGAAATGCATCGTGTTTCATTTAAGAAGAAATTCCTGTTCTGGCAGGTGAGCCGGCCACGGAGTCAGCTCGGGAAGATTCATGCCTGCGGAGAAGGCTCAGGCCTCTATGATCACACGAGTGCTTGCCTGCCCAAATCTGCTCTCTGAAGGTTTGTGGTGTCGATTGGTGTCATAATCCCAGGCCTGACTGCGTATGCGACCCACAGCGCTCAGGTGGCCCTGCCGTGATGTTTTGCACCTTGCCGCAGGTAGGAAGCTGCTGAAGGAACCAGGTCCGTGGCTGCCAGCTTTCCCTGGTGTCGGCTCCTCTGCACTATTTATTGCACTTCTCTACCACCCTGTAGCCTGCAGGCTCTCTGGGAGGTTTGCAGTGATTAAAATCACATATGCATTAGATAAATATTTGTGTTAAATAACGCTAAAACTACAAACAACGGAACAGGATAACAGCACAGCAAGTAGGGCCTTCTCCAGCATTGCACCCCATCTTTGGAATACGATCTGGCCTGAGGTCTGGTTGGCACCAAGTCTTTTGGTTTTTAGGCGCAACTGAAAACAGAGCTGTTATTTTTACAGGTGAATTTTGTGGTATTAATTCTGTTTATTTATGGATGATATTATTATTATAATATTATTTTGTCTTGTACCAAATGTCATATTTTGTTTGTACTCTTTTATGTTGTTAGATTTTAACATGTTGTAAGCACCCAGAGAGCCACTGGATTGTAGGCAGCATATAAATGGAATTAAATGGGGGCCGACCTGGCCTGCATAACGGGCACCTGGGCAGGAGAGGTGGGGGGATGTTGCCCTCTCCCAATTGTGCCCGCCCGGGTATCTGGTCCAGCACTGGTCACGGCCGGAGGGAAGGGGGGGGTCACTTTAGTTTACTGAGCCTCCATCTCTCTCACAGGACTTCCTGTCCCTTCGAGACCAGGGCTGGAGTGTCTCTACTTGGAGTTGGGTGACCGAGACAGACTGGGGATTCTGTTGGTGTACCATGCACCCTTCTGCCCAACAGTCTCCCTGCCTGAGCTGACAGAGATTGTCTCGGACCTGGTGTTGAGGACTCCCAGGATGTTGGTCCTGGGGGACTTCCATCTCCATGCCGAGACTGGTCTGACCAGGGCGGCTGAGGACTTCATGGCCTCCCTAAGGGCCATGGGGCTGTCTCAACATGTCACCAGCCCAACCCATGAACGTGGACACACTCTGGACCTGGTTTTCTCGACAGGCCAGGAAGAGGGTGGTCTGAGGGTGAGGAATTTATGCTTGACTCCCCTGTCATGGTCAGATCACTTCCTGGTGAGGTTTGTGCTTGAGAGCGACCTCTCCCTCTGTAAGGGTGCGGACCCGATTGTGTGGGTCTGCCCCTGGAGCCGGATGGATCCGGAAGGATTCCTGAAGGCCCTGGGGGAGTTTCTGGCTGACAAGACGGGTGCTCCTGTGGAGGCTCTGGTCGAACTGTGGAACGGGGAGATGACCAGGGCTGTAGACACGATCGCTCCTAAGCGTCCTCTCCCACCAGGCAGAGCCCGTTCTTCCCCTTGGTATACTCCTGAATTGAGGGCGATGAAGCAGGTTGGGAGACAGCTAGAGTGCAGGTGGAGGAAATCACGGGATGAATCTGACCGAACACACCTAAGATCCCACTATCGGGCCTATGCTGTGGCGGTGAGGGTGGCGAAAAAGAGATTTTTTTCCGCTTTCATTGCCTCCTCACAATGACGTCCAGCGAAGCTCTTTTGAGTGGTGCAAGGCCTGGTTCGTCCAGGTCTGAAAGAAGATCTGATTCCACCCTCAAAGGCCCGCTGTGACGACTTTGCCAGGCATTTCAGGGAGAAAATCGCTCAGATTCGTCATGAGCTGGATTCCACTATTGATTCAGAGGTTTTAAGGGAGACACCAATGCTACTGTCTGGTCCAGAATTATTGGATGAATTTCAGTTACTGCGGCCCGATGATGTGCACAAGTACGTCCCACCACTTGTCTTTTGGACCCTTGCCTGTCTTGGTTAATAAAGGATTCCAAGCACGGGATTGGAACCTGGATCTTGGAAGTGGTTAACGCTTCTCCCAGGGAGGGTCGGGTGCCTGCCCCTTTAAAGGAGGCGGTAGTCCGACCGGTCCTGAACAAGGTGTCACTGGATCCAGAGATGGCCACTAATTATAGACCAGTGGCCAACATCCCGTTTCTGGGCAAGGTGTTAGAGCGGGTGGTGGCGGGACAACTCCAAGCACTCTTGGATGAAACTGATTATCTGGACCCATTTCAGTCTGGCTTCAGACCCGGGTATGGTACTGAATCTGCCTTGGTCGCCCTGTATGATGACCTGTGCAGGGAGAAGGACAGGGGGAGTGCGTCTGTGTTGGTTCTCCTGGACCTCTCAGCAGCTTTCGATACCATCGACCATTGTATCCTTCTGGATAGGCATACGGGATTGGGGGTCGGAGGCACTGGTTTGCAGTGGTTCCGCTCCTATCTCAACGGCCGATTCCAGAAGGTGGTGCTGGGGGACTATGGCTCTGCGCCATGGCAGCTATGCCATGTAGTACCGCAGGGGTCCATTTTGTCCCCTTTGCTGTTCAACATCTACATGAAACCGCTGGGAGAGGTCATCAGGAGGTGTGGGCTGCGGAACCATCAGTACGCTGATGATACCCAGCTCTACCTCTCGTTTTCCACCAATCCAGGCTGTACTGAACTGGTGCCTGGCCGAGGTAATGGGTTGGATGAGGGCCAATAAACTGAAGCTCAATCCAGACAAGACGGAGGTCCTGTTGGCTGGCGGTTCAGGCTTCAGAGAAGGTGAATTGAAACTTGTCCTGAATGGGATTGCACTCCCTCCTAGGGACAAGGTCCGCAGCTTGGGAGTGCTCCTCGACCCAGAGCTTTCACTCGAAGCTCAGGTAATAGCAGCGGCGAGGAGCACTTTCCTCCAGCTTCGGCTGATTCATCAGCTGCGCCCCTATCTCGAGTATAACTGCCTCGCAACAGTGACTCATGCGCTGGTGACTTCCCGTCTTGACTTCTGAAACGCACTCTACGTGGGGCTACCCTTGAAGATGGTCCGGATACTTCAATTGGTTCAAAATAGAGCTGCCAGGCTGCTGACGGGAACTGGACGTTATGTTCACATGACTCCAGTCCTCCGTCAGCTTCACTGGCTCCCCATTGAAGTCTGGGCCCAATTCAAGGTGTTGGTGATGACCTATAAAGCCCTAAACGGCTTGGGTCCTGGTTACCTGAAGGAGCGCTTACATCCATATATGCCCAGCTGCCCCCTGAGATCAGCGGGAGAGGCCCTTCTCTGGGAGCCCTCAGTGAAGGAAATTAGGAGGGTGGTTACTCGGAGGAGGGCTTTCTCAGCGGTGGCGCCTAAGTTATGGAATGCACTCCCCAGAGAGGTCCGCCTGGCACCGTCGTTATTTGTTTTTCGGCGCCAGGCGAATACCTTTTTATTTAAGCAGCATTTTAAATGTTAATACTATTGAATTTTATCTGGCCAGGGTGGCTTATTTTATTCTAATGTATATATTTTAATTTTTATTTATACGGTTCTAATTTATTGGTGTAAGCTGCCCCGAGGCTTCGGCGAATGGGGCAGCATAAAAATGTTTTAATAAAGAAATAATAAATAAATAACTCCATCCTTCCATCTGTCCATCCATCCTGCGACAGAGCAGCTGATAATACTCAATATTCAAAACATGATTAGAGATCTAAGAATTAAAATAACTTGAAATCAAAATGGTTTTCACCTGGTGCTGAAAGGAAGCTAAAGAGGGCACCAGGCTTATCTCCCTGGGGAGCATATTCCTGAGATCGGTGCCACTATGAAAAGGCCCTGCTCCTGCTTGCTAACCTTCCAAACTTCTTTTAAATTCTACTAAGCAGTCTGATAAAAGGCCCCTGATATGCTAGCTTAGAAACTGTGCTTCCTACTCTTGTGTTTACCGCTAGGAACTCTCCCTATGAAGAGGAGGGTCCCATCCCCACGGAAGAGAACAAGCGAATACCAGTTGGTAAACAGGAACTGGATTCAGAAGCCAAGAATCCAAAAGGTGACCCATCACACCCACACTTTCTTCCCCTCACATGACTAGAATAAGCCCCCAAAATGCAATTTGCTGCCCCTGTTATAATGCTCCCAAAGCGCTAGTTGGAGACGGGGCCCTGCCTGAAGGTGGAGGCGGGAAGGCTGCAATGGCAGGGAGCCTCCTGGGCCTTTGGCTCCCCAGGATCCCGTCATGCCGCACCAGGCCGTCTCGCTGTTCCAGGGGTGACATGCTTGACTAAATAGGAAAATGGAAGACAAATAGATTAAGGAAATTATGATAATGTGGACACAAAATTTTGGATATAATATTGAATTAGAAAAGTAGCAAAAGCTGTGGGAGAGAAATATCAAGGTAATATTAGCAACTCTGTATGAAGAAAACTTATACTAAATATTTTATAGAGGGTATCGGTTGCCAAATAAATTAGCTAAGAAGTTTCCAAATATGTTAAATGGATGTTGGAAGTGTAAACATAAATTGGGTACTTTTACTATATGTGATGGACTTGTGAAAATGTGAAAAAGTATTGGATTAAACTACATAAATGTAGTCGATTTTACATGTAATTACTGTGGTGATGATTGCATTCGCTTAATACTTGAAAAGTGAACAACTACCCATCGATGAACTGATCCTAAAAAAAAAAAAAAAAAAAATTCTGGACTGTGCAGAAATGGACAGATTGACGTTACCATTGAAGGAGAAGGAAGATATTGACCTCCATCAAACTTGGGACTCTTTTTATTATTGGCTAGGGAAACGGGATTTTGCATAGATTTAAATATGTTTTTTAAGTTATTATAAATGAAAAAGAAGGTTGTGGGGGCTGACCCAGTGGGCTCAATGTTTTTGATGATGGATGTTGTTTGTAGTTTGTTGGTTTTTAGGAGTATACTTCAAATAAAACGGAGATAACTGGGTCTCTTCAGCCTAGAGAAGAGGGGACTCGGAGGGGATCTGGTGGCGGCATACAGGTATGCCAGGGTGTGTCACGCAGAGGAGGGTAGAGGCCTGTTCTCCCCTGCAGCTGAAGACGCTCAAACAGCAAAGCTCAGGGAATCCAGGTTCCCTTTAGATGCCAGGAAGTACTTCCTGAGGGTGTGGACCCAGAGGATATGGGACAACTCCAAGCTCTCTTGGATGAAACTGATTATCTGGACCCATTTCAGTCTGGCTTCAGACCCAGGTACGGTACTGAATCTGCCTTGGTCGCCCTGT